GAGACGAGTTGAGTAAAAGTCAGTAGAGGAAAAGACCAACAAAGAAGTGGTAAACAATGCCCCTTCTCAGGGGAGAGAGAACTGAGAGATTTGCCACAGAGAAATCACAAACAGATGGTGAAAGCATTCATTTGAAATGTGAAGAAGTATCTTGCTGTAAAAACACATTTAGTCTCATGTTGAGTCTGGGTGGAAACTGGAAAATAAAACAAGAATGCTTCATCTTCCCTGTGTGTAACAGTCACTGGACCTTCACTCCTAGCTCTTCAGAGGAGGAGGCCTGGGTGAAAGGTGTTTCTCCTCCTAGTTTTGCTCCTGAGAGATCGGCAGGAAGTGGGCAGGCGAGGCAGGAAGTGGGCAGGCACAGATGGTTTATTAGGAGCCTTGTAAAGAGAGCAGCTTGAGGTGGGGATCCAAAGGCAGGACACCTGGCCTTCGGTGATAGTTCTGCCATTTGCCAATCTCTTTTGAGTCTTGTTTCTTCGTTTCTAAAATTGGGATGTTAATACCATGCTCAAAGTGTTGCAAAGATGAAGTGAGACCCTATCATGCGAGTGTTGGCTCCATAAAGAGAGAGATGGTGTCTTTATTAATTTCCCGTGGCTTGTCAATCGTAGGCGCTTGATATCCGACCCATTTGACTATTTGACCCCGGAATTACTACATAGTATTCAGAAGATTACGGCCAACTGCTTATAAAAAAAAAACTATAAAGTGTTCCAGGGAGTCCTTTCTTCTGACAGTAACTTTCTCTCTCTCTCTCTTGCCTTCAAAAACCTCCCAAGACTCAAGGACTCTGGCAGGCTGAGTTGAGCTCCTCCCCACATTCCAGGCCATTCCCACTCTATCCAAGCAGCATCCACGACCTCCAGGGTGCCTGAGGTACTGCTCCAAGTTCAGTGTCTGCCTGCCTTTAAGTTTATGTCTGGACGCAGAGCATCTTCCTGTTTTCTGCCTTAACGTGCAAGTTCCCTGAGGCAGATGTGAGGTGGCTCCTCTCTCTGTTTTCTCAGGGTTCAGACCAGGAAGAACAGGGTGTACCTGGGTGGTATTTGCCTCTGAGGTACAAGGCACCCTTGCCCCTTTTCTCAATTTGGTATCCTTACCACGTTGAATTTCGAAATCACTGAACATCAACTCTCTCATTTTACAGATGCAGAATCTGAAGCCCAGAGCAGGCACATTATTTATCTAAGGCTTTGGAGTCCATGCTTAGAAAAGGAAAGAAATCCCAAACCAAGGGCATAGTGTTGATGACAGGTTTCGGAGGAGGACAGAAGGTGAAGGAATGAGGTAAAATAAATTGCTGTGTCTTTTAAAAATAATTATTATCCATGAGTTTTTGGCCCTCTGGGTTTTCTTTGTTCTTCCAACCCATAGTGTAGCTGCGCTTCTAACTGGACCTACCCACAGGCTCTGATCGCTATCAGATTTGTACCTAGACAGCCTTTCAAGGCACTGAAACCATGATCAAGGTGAAGTTAAGAGTAAGGTGAAGTAACAGAAGTAACAGAAGTAACAGAAGTCTAGCCACACAAAATCAATCCTTCTCCTCCACTCTTTCACATGACCCTGGCTTCCTCAAAGACAGAAAAAGGAGATTCATCTACCAAGAGTGTTGATAGGTGGTGAGCAGAGAGGTTCAGGTTAGAAGGGAAGGACACAGTCTGGACAGGTAGAAACAAGAATGTCACTAAAATGTGTTAGGGGAGTGTTACAGGGGGACAGCCTACCTAAATGCTAGAGCTGGAGTAGGACCACCCAGAGCGAAACGCAGAACACAATCTAGAAAGAGATGCTCCTTCAACACCTTGGGCCGGGTACTTTCCAACTCAGAGACCGCACAGAAGGCAGACAGGGGCTACTGCCTACATCAGCTTCAACAACGCGCAGAGGCGAGGCAGGGGTGGGTACAGAGAGAATCCTGCAGAATTACTCTAGTCCTCGTGGACTAGGTGGTCCTCGCTGATAGCACAGCTGGTCATGGCTGCCTTACGGCTTTGGGGGAGATCATCCCCTTTCGAACCTTCAATTTCATCATCTGTAAAATACCATCCTCCCTGGACGACTAGGACAAAAACTGCCAACGTTGGTTCCTTTCTCCCACCTTTCCTGGGTCGGCCTGAGTCTTGTTTAGGGTTCCTGAGGGAGACTGTTGTCTCCTCTGCGTCCCTATCCTTGCCCAAGATCGGGTGATTTCCTCCGTTCTCTCAAATCTTTCTACTTTAAGGGAAACCCAGTCCCACGCCCACCTGCGGGGGAGGCCGCGGGCCCTTCGGTTCGGCCCCGTCCCCCTCGGGCACCCCGCACGCCCCGCTCACCGCCTCCAGCCCGAGGGACCGGCTGGTGGTGGGGCCCGGCCCCTACCTTCTCCTGGGCTCTGCTGAACTTCTTCTGCACCTGCTTGGCGAACAGGCCGGCGGCGCCTCCCGCCTTGCCCTCCGCCATCCTGCTGGCTCCGGGCGGCCCGGCCCGGCGGCCTGTGGTTTTCTGGAGGCCCCCGAGGAGGAAGTGCGGTTCCCGGCATGCCTCGCATCCGGCCGTGGCCGTGGCCGCCCCGCCCCATGCAGTTCGCGACCCCCGCGGCCGCCCAGGCTCCTCGCGGTGTCGGCTCCCGGTGCAGCCACGGTGGTCCTGAGGCCCCCCCCAGCCCACCCCCCCCCACCCCCGCTCAGCCCCGGCCCCGAGGGGGACCTCTGCAGCTCAGGCTGGGGGCTGCACCTGTTCGGAGGAGGAGGCTGGAAACCCGGGCCTGCCCTCAGGTGGTACTCCCTCAAAATCAGCCTAGAAGCTGCGCAGCCCGGAGGGACGGGAGCACCAGCCCCACGGAACAGTTTTCTAACGTGGGCCGAGACCCATTCGTGCCTGCAGCCAATTCGCCATAACCATCAGCACTAGGGAATACCTGGAACGGTGGGGCAGAAAGATGGCGATTTCCACGTAGCAAGAGTATGGGAAACGTTGTTTCACTCTATGCGCGTGTCTTCTGGGCTGTCGGGTTAAATACTCGACTTATTCCAGGCGGTTTTTAAAGATGGAAAGCCTCTGCCGGAGAGGTTGGCTGTAGGCCTAGAACTGGTAGGGACAGAGTGCGGGAAGGGACAGGCCCCCACATCGGGATTTGAAAGGGAGGAACAACCGAGCCAGCGGTAGAAATGGGGGTCCTTAGGAAAGGAAAGGACTGAGGGGAGAGACTGGAAGCCCGCGCTGGGGAGGGGAGCGCGCTTCACTAGCTGTACGGCCTGGTGCGTGTCCTGGGTGGAGGCGGGGTGTGAAGACAGACACAGGCTGGGAAAGTGGGGATGAGGCTGCCCAGATCACACCCGTTGCTCCCACTGAGGTCTGCTAACCGAAGCGGACCCCTTTGAGCGGATAGCCGGAGATGAGGACCCTGGGTTTGGAGGTATCATTTACTCACAGATTTTTACAGTGGTGTAACATCCCTCCAAGAGGGGAAGAGGGTCAAGATGACTTCCCGATCAGGAGTGGAGAGGGAAGCTGGAGGCCCTTGTCTGCTGTCATTTCCCGGGCCATTCCCCCAAACAGACAGAGTGCACTCAGGGTCAGCTGTGTGCCGGGCATGCTGGGTGTTGGGAAACCAAGGATAAATTAAAAAAAAAAATGAGATCTCTGACCTCAAGATGCTTAAAGTCTGAGGTGGAGAGACGTTGGTAATCAGATGATTATAATATGATGTGCTTAATGCATTTATAGAGATGGATACACAATTGTCAGGTCCTAGGTCATTAGGGTTTATTCTGGACATTAGCTGTGGGGATGGTCTAGAAGGGGCAGAGTGCAGAAAATGGAAGGACTTGATGTTGCATGGGAAGAAGAGGGGAGAAGCCCAGGGGATGGCAGTACTGTGGGAACACAGAGAAGGTGGTCACGATAACAGGTCTGTCACTAGCAGAAGGAGGCCAACGCCTGTGTTACTCTCGGCGTCCACAGCACCCTCAGCAATGCAACCCAGCCACTGCCTCCTAAAAAACCCTCTTCTGTGCCAGTCTCTTAGGAACTGAAATCGATGGTCACCAAATCATGTGGTTTTAGAGCAGGGACAATCTTCAGAAGTTAACTAGACAAGGAAACTGAGTCACAGAAAAAGCTGGTGACTTGCCCAAGGTTACCCAGTTCCTCAGTGTTGGAACCGAGATGGGAATACAGGCGTCCTGACCCAGCTTCTTACAGTGCATACACTGTTCCAGAGGCTTCTGCTGACACTGCAGCCTTACACATGCCAGGACCGGTCTTGGCCGGTTTCTCTGGTTATAATGTTAACTACCTATTCCCTCTTGTCTGGTCCTCGGGGATCGCTGTGAACAGCTGCTCTCGCCCTCTTCATCTTTCAGTTCTCTCTTCGCTCTGTTGTAGACCCCTCCAGAAGACAGAGCCCAGGCCAGGATCGGGCAGACTTATCAGCTTCCCAGTTCTCTGTGGTTTATAGAACCCCAGATCCGGTTGCCTATTTTAGTCCCAGCCTTGAAATGCTGACTCACACTTAGTTGGAGGCCCTCTATTGTGGTCTCTTCTCCCTTTTTGTTCTGCTCAACCCTTTCCTCTCTTTGTTCAGTATCTTCTTTTCTCCTTGTTTCTATTCTTGCCTCCCTCGTCTCCTTTGTAATTGGTCACTTTCTTTGTCTGCTGGCATCTGACCTACCACTGAATCCTATACTCCTATCTCGAGGGTATCCTAGTGGTTGCCATCACTCAGTACTTTGGGGAGAGCACCTGTTCTAGACACTGAAGGGGGAAACCAAAAGAAGGATGAGCCCACAGTCTCCCCGGGATAGTGCGGGCACGTTTCGGCACTCAAGAACATTTTAAAGCACTCTTTGCTTTTGCTTATAGCAAAGGCACATGGGAGGAAGAGCAGACGGGCAGGTTGATAGATAGGGAGATCTGAAAATAATGCAAAAAGAATAATGTAAAACCACTCCCACTTGGCTTAGTTTGTGAACTGGTAGACGTGGTGGTAAATGGAAGAACCAGCACAGAAATGTGGTGACATCCGATGTGGATCCTAGAACTGCATTTCCTTTAGAGGGCTCCATTACAAACAAAAAGACTCAGGGTGATAATGTATATTCAGTTGTATTTGCTTTTCTGTATCTGGCTCGGTGGTCTCTCAGAAAGTTTTTTCCTTGACGGTCTCAAGTCCTACTGTGGATCTAAGCATCATCCTGGGCAGGCTGTTGGATTCAGGAAGATATTCAGTTGGAGGCAATAACCTGAAGGAAAAGCGCATATGTCCACAGTCAGTACCTTCCGCCCACCTCCCTTCTGTTTTCTTCCAGGACTCCTGGTTGAGGGTGGCCCTGCCCGGGTTTCTGGGGTAGTTGGGGGTGGGCAGGAAGTAGATCTCAGCTGTGTTGGGACAATTCAGTGTTACTTAGGGGCAAGGACAGGCCTGGAGATGGTTGTGAATCAAAGTTCGTACCACAAGACTCCAGAGTGTGTTTGAAGGCTGGAGGGCATAGGTGGGATGTGATGAAGCTCGACCAGTAGGTCAGTGTGGAGGTAAATTCTCACCTAACCTTCGAGCATTGTCTAGGGTGGTAAAACCTCTTGCCAAAGGGTAGAGAGCAGCTTCTCATAATGCCCTTAGAAAGAGCTCATGGGAAAAAATGTTAGTGATTCTTCCATTGCCCGAAATAATGGAGGCCTTGCTGCAGTCATTTTTTCCCTTGGCTTTGACTTAGGACAGCACTGATATGTGCCTGGTTGAGGTCTGCTGTTATCACTGTCTTGCCCTAGGCAGTAAACCCTTTGGTGAAGCCTGAGTGGTATGCAGAGGCAGAGGGGGTCCCAGGACGGCAGCATTACGGCAGGAAAGTGCACCACGGAGGCAAGGGAAAGGAGTAAACGAATGTGGTAAGGAAGATGGTGGCTTCCCCCGGCCAACTTCTGCTCCCCAACCCTGCCAGTACACAGGGGTTCAGATGACCGTGTTTCAACCCGTCATCTGCGAAGACTCACTGTGTTTATCCAGGAGATGTAGGCGGAGCCTGGGTGAAGACTGTGGGCTTCCTGGAGACATTACAGCCCAGGCTGGACACAAAGCTGGTCACTCCGTGGACGGTGTACTTGCCACTCACCAAGCAATGGAGAGGGCCCCCAGAATCCCCCTGCAGGGAGGAGAAGAAGGGGTCTAAAACTCCATTTTAAAATCTCTGAACCTTTGCTTTTGCTTATACCCCCTCCCCATTTCTGCTTGTAAAATCCGGTGCAGTTTTAAAGCTCCAATTCAAATCCCCCCACTTCCTGCGTATCCCCACAATGCAGATGAAATCTCTTTTTCCTTTCGGGACAACCGCAGTACCTTTTCCTTTCTTTTGCTGCACTCATGTCATGTTCTGCCTTGTATTTTGGTTTCATCATTTGTTTCTACCTGCCACGCCTATCTATGAGCTTCTTGAGACAGGAACTGTGTCTTACTGATACATTTCCTCTCCACAATGCTAGCATACAACTTTGAACATCTTAAGCTCAGTAGCTTTTATTGACTTACACCGAACCTGAGAGTAGGGGGAGTAGAGTGTTCTAATGATTTTTTTCATCCCCGGCATTTAAACCAATGGTTCTCATTAGACTTAGCGTTTAGACACAGGGTGGGTAGTCAACACATTAAACTAAACGGGGGTAAGGAAAAAAAACTGGGGTGTAAAGAGGAGTGAAAGTGACGTATTGGGTAGCAGTTACATGCTCAGGCTTAGCATCAGAGGAAACTGGGTTGATAGAATATGACCTTGACACTCTCCTCCTTATTCAGCTCCCAGGATGCCAGTTCTATAATTCCAGACGGAAAATGGAAAGATATTTCTCTGCAAAATCTGACCAGCATAAGAGGGAAGACCAGACGATACGGCCATTGGAGGTCCCCTGCCGCAGTGGCCTCATTAGATCATCCAACAGACAGTTCACCATGGATGAATCCCACCGAAGGCTCAGAGCTACTGATCAGCTTTTTACCCTCACTCTGAAATAAGAGCAGATGGTGAAGGAGTACCAAAAATCTGAAGAAAGCCTCTAATGTAACAATAAAGTTCCAAACAAGGAGACAAAGAAATAAACAAAAAAATGAAGGCAACCAAGATTTGTAGGGAGAAGGAAACAAGCAATAAAAAACTATGATTAATATTGCATCCATGATACAAGAACAGCATGCTATTAAACAGAACATTCAGAAAACAAAAAAGGGCCTTTGGAAATTATGACTATGATTATAGAAATGCAAGATTGGAAGGGCTGGAAGATAAAGTAGAACAAACAAACAAAATATAGAGAGACTAAGAAAATAAGAGGACTATCTAAGGAGGTAAGTAGGTGAATAACAGAAATTCTAGAGAGAATATAAAAATGGAGGGGAGGTAATCATCAACAAACATTTTCAGAACCAAAGTTCTGGAGTTTCTAAAATGAGAAAACCCACCAAGTCTCTTTCACAATAAATGCAAATAGACCTATACCAAGACACAAAACACAGGGGTCAAGAGAGGATAAAATAAGTCACTTACAAACTAGTGGACAGTGTGGGGTTGACTTAGTGATAAGTGGAATATATATTATTCAAATTAAAAAGACAGTTATTAACTCCAGGAAGAACAAAGTTCTGCAGGAAATGAAAAGTAATTTTAGAATATAATATGGATATGAGAGGCCAGGCATGAAAAAAGAGGTAATCTTGCCCATTTGCAAGGACATGGATGGACCTCGAGGGCAGTATGCTCAGCGAAACAAGTGAGACAGAGAAAGATACATTATGATCTCTCTTCTATGTGAAATTTAAACACAGAACAAAACAAAACAAACTCATAGATACAGAGGACAGATTGGTGGTTGCCAGAGGTGGGGCGGTGTGGGTAGGGGAAGAAATGGAAAAAAAAAACAACACAACTGCTTCCCTTTCTCATGAACTTACTGAAGAATTTGCAACATCAAATAGTGTGTAAGACAAGAAAGAGAAATAGAGGAACACATGACCAGGGACCCACAATAAAACATGTACACGCTTGGGTGTGCCAAGCATGTCTCTAGAAGAATATAGAGACGGACAAGAGCAGCTGTTGACTCCATGAGGATATAATTTTATATAATTCACTTATAAGCTGCTTTTGATCACAAAGCACTCTTCCAAAATGTTCCAACTGTTAAAAAATGACAGCAGGCCCAAAATAAAGTCACTTATGCCAAGCTCTATGGAGACTTAATACCTAACCTAACTGTAGCTTCAGCCTCTCCCAGAAATGTGATCTTTAACCAGCCAACCTGGAAATTCCCAGTCAGCACTGGAAGTAATCTGCTGATAGACCTCTTAGGAGGGCAACCTTGCCTAAAACAAGGCATTCTTTGCTAATAATTTCCTTTTTCCATTTTCTCTTTGCCTTTATAACCTTTTTCTTTTCTATAGCTTAATGAAGCTCCTTTCTATTTTCTAGATGGGATGCTATCTGATTCATGAATCATTGAAGCCACTTTGATCTCTAAATTTAATCAGCTGAATATTTGTTACTTAACAGATTTGGTGGCAGAGGCCAGACCAAAGGACACTTCTGACAGCTCTGGGGACACCAAGAAACAGGTGAGGGTGGCATTTTGCGAACACTGAGTTTACGGTCTTTCTCACCATTTCCAAGGGCCGTGCGTGAGTCCCCTTGTCAGTTCCATTATAATGAACTCTCATCAGATCTTTAAAAATAGGCATTTTTAAGTCTTTTATCATTTACAGAGAGTTACTGTTTACTCAGATGATTTTACAAAAGCTTCCTGCAGATGTGTTTTATCTTCAGAGAAATTCATGGAAAAGAATCTGACAAGTACTCTAGAATACAGGTCTCTGATACTTTCAGATCAAGCAACTGAACTGGCTGGAAAATTTCCAGAACTGATGGAAAAAAGGGATTCAAACAGGACAAATGTTAATTACATGGGCCTGCATGAATTGAGGAGGATGATTATAATTTCTGTGACTTCTCATTGAAAACATTATTGGTTCTCTAATGTTTTGCTTTTCCAGATTTGAGGAAACCTTTTTCTTTCTTTTATCTTCAGCTATCAACAATTTGGTGAGCTATATCTTTGTGACCAAAGATGAAACATTTCCTTTTTCTCCCTACCTGATCTCTCCATAATTCGAAAACTCTCGAGTATTCTTTTCATGACAACATACAGTTGACCCTTGACCACCATGGGGGTTAGGGACACCGACCGCCCCTCCCTGCACAGTCAAAAATGCCTGTATAACTTTTTACTCCTCGAAAATGTAACTAGCCTACTACTGACCAAAGCCTTACTGATAATATAAACAGTCTAAGATTAACACATATTTTGTGTCATATGTGTTCTATACAGTATTCTTACAGTAAAGTAACCTAGATAAAAGAAAATGTGATTTAAAAATCATAAGGAAGAGAAAATACACTTATTGTTCTATATTGGAAAAGATCCACATATCAGTTGACCCACATAGTTCAAACCCATGTTTTTCCAGGGGAACTGTAGTTAGTTATTGACAGAGGTTCAATGAGAATCTGATCTCCTTGTATAATAAGACACAATTGGGGGGGGCGCCTGGGTGGCTCAGTCATTAAATGTCTGCCTTCGGCTCAGGTCATGATCCCAGGGTCCTGGGATCGAGCCCCGCATCGGGCTCCCTGTTCCTTGGGAAGCCTGCTTCTCCCTCTCCCACTCCCCCTGCTTGTGTTCCCTCTCTTGCTGTCTCTCTCTCTCTGTCAGATAAAGAAATAAAAATCTTAAAAAAAAAAAAAGACACAATTGGAAACATTGGTTATATTACCAAAGCCCAGATTAGAATATCATATTTAAGTAAGTTGTATATAAGCTCACATATGACCAGACAGTCTCAAGGAACTAAGGCTGGCTTTACAGAGCCAATAAAGCCTCATGGAAAAATTGACCTGGTACTTTGCTTACAAGGTTCCAGCAAAGCAGTCTTCAAAAGAGCTTACGTTGAAACTAACAATACGTTCTATGTTAATTAATTAGATTTAAATAAAGTTAAAATAGAAATTTTTAAAAAAGAGCTTATGTGGTCAATTGCTATTCTTGCTGCACTTCTGTAAATCAGGCAATGTTTAAAGCAAACTAATTAGTTTTACTATAAAAAATGAAGGTAATTGTAGAGAGAAGAAATTATGTTTACACTTTCATGTGTATTAGATTCTAATCCTGTTAATTGTCTTTGAGGTTCTATTATACACCTGTAATTTGGACTGGATCCTGAATTCTTCCAGTTTCCTAAAAAAACTCTTCCAACTAACACTTCCAATTTTCTCTCACCCTTCTGTTTTGGAATCAATAAGAACAAAGACTGCCCTTGAATCTCCTTGGAAGGGATGACACCAGGTCCTCCTCACCACCCAGAGGGCAGCCAGACTCCAGGGACTTAAGCCTTGGACAAGCATCTCACAGCTGGAGAAGGCCCCACCTGGCATCTGGTCCCACACAAGTGTTGGAGACCTCCCAGGCAAAGTGACTAGGGAGAGAAGTAGCTGACATCGCGGTAGACTGCTTCCTCCCAAGACGCCAGATCAAGGCTTCATACTCTAACTAAATAGGAAGCCCTTTCTTCTTCCCTTTCTTTCCTTCACTCTGGTGCTGGCCTGGAAATAGAACACCATCATCCACATCCCCTGGGCCACGGCTAAGGGGGGTAGCCTCTGGAACTTAGAACAACTTTTTATTTCAGACTAAGAGAAGACCTAACTGTCCCCTGGCTTGAATGGGCAAACGCAACAATCCCTGAGAATGAATCCACCTAACAGTGCCACCTGATTGAAAAGTGGTTTGTTCCCTGAGAGAGTTTGTCTTTGTCCGTGGTGGTTATCACCCTCCTTGGGCCTACAAAGGACTAGATAGCTAGCACACAGCCAGGAAGTGCCTTTTAGGTTATCCAAGTGTGCCTGCAGACTTGCCACAAATGAACTAAGACACCTACCTCGTTGTACAACTCCCCTGGATTTACATCATCGAGTTAGAGGAAGAACTGAGTTAGAAAGGAATCATTGATTATTCATGACTCAGGATTCCCTTCCTTTGGCAGGGCCACACTTCCCTGGCTAGGAGTAGAGTAAATGTACATCAGAATGTGATTAGAAACCTCTCTTTA